TGTTTGCAGTACAATCATTAATGATTCATTTGATGATCGTTTTAATGTTTTTTTCTGTTGTAGGTGTAAAGAGCCTGGTAGATACTTGAAGGACCTTCCGCCTACAGCGGTAATTATCTGCTTCCACAACGAGGCCTGGTCTGTGCTGTTGCGTACAGTGCATTCCGTGCTAGACAGATCGCCGGAACATCTCATACAAGAAATCATTTTGGTCGATGATTTCTCCGATATGCGTAAGTTTTTTTCCTTTCTCCCCATTGATAATGCCATACCGGAAGAATTAAATTGCCGCTACCTTTAAAATCGAAATCGAAATTGAAATTTCGCAATAACGCATAATAGACTTCATTTTATTCGCGGGTATTAATTCCAATTCTATTCTATCGGTAGTGAAAAATTGCGAGGAATGAACGTCCCGTACGAACGTTTCCTCCGTGAAAATTGATACATAAATTGCATCCCCTAATACGTTAACATGTTTAAAAATATTTCTTCCGTATAAAACGAAAATTGGACGAATTACTCCTGCGTTATCGCTGGAGAACCGCACGTGTATTTCTGGATTCAAAACGAAATATCTTGTATGCGCGATCGAAGTGGAATAGCATATCGTTTCCGTGGCGTCGTAAATCTCCTCGTGCAGTTCTCATCGCCGAGCGATGAAAAATCCTCGATAGAACGCCGGGAGGGGAACTCGTATAAGCACAGAAACGCGAGCGGAAACCGCGAGCCATTATATTCGCGTACTTGCTCGTGCAACCGAGTCTCTCCATTCAGAATGGTGATTCGTTATCGCGACAGTGTTTCGCGTAGTTTCGCGATAGATCGATTAATTGCGATCCATCTCTCTCCACTGTGCCGCCGCGACATGAATAGAAGAGAAACTCTCTCGACCTGCTTTACAGACGCCCTGAAAATTACGAGAGGCTCATACGAACTCCGCTTGCTCGGTGGCCCTTCATAGGTTTCTCCTCGTTCTCTCTGCTTATTCCCATCAAAATCTAATTTCCTAAAAATTGATTGTCGCGTCGTTACATTATATTGAGATTTTATAACTTTGCTTTCAAAAAGGAAATTTTTTTATTGTTATATTTTTTTACGATAAGAACCATTTTAAGCGAAAGATCTTCGTCGAAATGTATATATTTTTACCGAAAATCCATCCCGTCGTTCGTTTGTTACAGTTTTATCTTTATTAAATTGAAAATGAAAAACGGCGTTTATGATAATTTATCTTGCATTTCATATTTATCAGAATACATGTTTCTTGCCTAAAGGTATGTACGTAAAGTTGATAGAAGTATATCAAACACGCAATTTCGCAAATATGGGCGGAACAAATATGTACGCTCGTACGCATTGTTTGGATGCAAAAAGGCAATTATAGCTCCAACATACCTGTATATTTTTGAATAAACTGACGTTCATACAACGGCTACTAAATCGAAATCTAAATTACAAACCTAGTAGAATTGAAATCACTATCGATAAAAAAAAATAATATGGTTAAACTATTTACAAGCCGGAGTTACATTTCAAAAATATGCACTGTAAATATATATATATATATATATATAAAATACAATTTTAAAACAGACAGAATTTTGCGATAACATTTCCACACTGAAAATATCATATTACTTTCCGGTTTAATTGTCACATTATTGGGTGAGGGCAATCGTGTGGAATCCTACCACATAATATAGGTGAGCGAACATAAAAATCCCGAGAGAAAGGGTGTCTGAGATTAAGCTGGGTTCAAGCAAACAGTATAGTCAGGATAGTTGCTGCAATCCTTATTAAAAGCTCAAGATAAGTCCTCGTCCCGGCCGGAAGTTAAACCTATAAACATAATCACTTGCTTCAGCGATCTCCTAGCCAGCTTTGTGTGTGCTATTAACAGACAATTGATTGCTTTATCACGAAGAGAGATTATAACATTGCATAACTGTGCTCGTTTTTTCTCTTTTTTTCTTTCACAGCGTGAAGATAATTTAAAAATGTAAAACAAATTACGAGTGTTTTTAATTACGAGTGTTTTTGAAATAGCGACTTGTATAATTTAGAGAAGAATTTTAATATCTATAATTAGGAGAAACGTTCATTAGCAAATTAGTATTATATTTTTTATTTTAGTATTATATTTCGTTTATCTATTAATTGCAGAAAAAGCACTGCAGAAGCTTCTGCAAAATATCCTTTTTATAATGTAGATACTTTTTGCCTTAGTTTTAAACCAAATAAGTACTACAGTAAAAAAAAAAGAGGAAAATCTAATTCTAGAGAAGTCAAGTAAATTTTCGAGCAGCTTGAAGTTTTATATCAATATTTTTCATCGCAGAAAAGTAGACTAAAGTGATATTCTTAATTAAAGGGAAGACTTTTGCTGTACATTACATTTTCTGTAATAATATTTTTTAATAATAAAATAGTTGAAATCAAGCGTATGTAACGATGAGATACGATTGGTTCGTTAATTTAAGATTGAAGCTAGTTATTGCACCCGTGCAAATACGTGTGATTTATTGTGCAATGAATATATCAATGAATAACTTACTTATAAAGATAGAAATTTGTAAGTAACGTTTTACTTTATATATATTTATTTAAAATATGGACAATAAAGCATATAATTAATTGTGATTAATAACTGTAATTATGGTTGTGTATGAAGATTACGCAGGTGCAATCGCTTATTTATTTTCATTACGTTTTCATTAATTTAACATGAGGCTATATAGCTGATTTATATTACAATCAGAATGATAGATGATATTACTCAGCGGGCAATATCTTTGGTGCCTAATAATTTTTGTCTTTTTTTTATATTTATAAATTCAAGACACAATGGCTTATGGTATCGCCAGCCACATGCCATTATTTTTTACAGACTTGCAACGCTCAAAGCCATTACTATAAAATTTTTCCTTTAATAAAGCAATAATAAAATATCGATATCGATTATGCTCCTTCTGCCCACGAGAAATTCTTATTACGAATAATATTACCTCAGCCAGGGTTCGAACCTGAAACATCCCGACTATTTGTGCCGGGTGTTTTTATCAATTTGATCACTGAGGTGTGATGAATATTTATCGCAATAACCGTGAGGCCTTCTATTATTTTTCGTTATCAACATTTTATTACGGTCTATCTGTCTTCTTTCAACGACATAGATTATACTACAATATTATGATCATTTTTTTGCATTTATCTACAAATTTAATTTTTTCATTCGTCGAAACATGCAGAGAGCGGATTAAATTCAATGATTAATAAATCTCACAGAAGAAAGTTGTAACGAAGTTGTACGTTACAGCGTAGACTTTAGCTTCCCTCGGTAAAACGCACGCACGATAATTAGCTTTTATACGGGGGATTGGCGACGAGAGTTACAGAGTTAATTATGAGCGCTCTCGACGGCGACAGAGACTGGTGGCTCTTTGAACGTTTCCATTATCTACGCCTCATAATGCACTCGGCAAAGTCATAATGAAATTTGCAATAATGGCCATGGCCATGGTGTATGCGTGCCTCTGTGTTTGAGGAATTCATTAGAAATTAATTCGGTTCGGAATCCGGCGCGTGCACGCGCCGAATTGCGTGTGCATTAAATGTCTGACCTCTGACCTATCTCTTACGGTCCATCTCGTTCATACGGTCTTCTCGTGCTCGAGTGCAGCTAACGAGAGAGAGCTACGTTTCTCGCACGCTTCTCGCCTTCAAAGCTTCAACGTGCTATTTCGAGAGGAACATTTTCTCGATTCGTGACTAACGGTGAGATCCGTATTGCGATCCCCGTATTTTTCCTACGGCGATCAGCGCGAGGAACACGAGGAAATTCTTTTTGCGAATCGATGCGGAATATGGAATTGAAGATGGGGCAGGATAGAAACGAGAGTACACGACGTGTACGACGATTTTCTGTTAAAGCTCATCGAGCGTACAGAGCCCGACCAAAGGGTGCATAAAATCAACGCCGGCGCGGCGTCTCGACCGGTAATCATTGCGCCTGCACGAAACACGCTGATCCGTGGAATCCCATTATACTATCCATAGTTAACCGAGCTTACAGGGCAGAGGTTTAGGATTAGTGGCGCAGTCCCTCATAAAGCCATCCTAACGGAGAATAAATCACGAATATCTGCTAATTGCTACCCAATCGTATCATAACTATGGGTGGGATACGTGTCGTAAATTTACATCTCACCTCACGATTGTCAGGAATAACAAGAGAATAACAGATCGAGACTTCTAAATATTTGTTCAAGTGGTATTAAAGTCTTCCCGTGGCCTTGTCGACCATCATTTCTTTTTATCAAGATTTACGTGTGTGTTGTTTGAATGAGATTAAAAAAAATTGCCCTGACGATAAATTTCTTTTTTCTTTTAGTAATATTATTAAGTAGTAATATTAATACTTATTACAATTTGAAGAAAATCTCTTACCTTATTATTCTCCTGATAAATATGCCTTCAAATATTTGCAAACTACGTCCCCTTTTTATATCTCGATCGTTACTTAGGATACTTTAACCGTGGACTCAGAATTAGTCTGGCATACATAATCTTTATTAGAATATAAACAGTGATCGTGACTATTTTTTTTATCAGGTCAACGATAAAATGTTAATAACCTGGATATATATATATAAAAGGGATATGCCAATCTACAGCATTATCGTCGTTTTTATGTAATATACGATTAAATTAATTGTGGTTGGAGAATGAATCTACGATGGGAAAGGTGATTGTTGTTGCCGTAATACTGCTGCACGTTGCGAATGACACCGTAAATAACCCATAAGCTGACATTAAGGACGTAATCGACGTTAGAGAAACCTAAAGAAACGATTATATTCGTATGGCTGTGTTGTTGCAATATCCTTCGCCGAAGCATAAATCCTGCGGGTAACTTTATTCCAAATCGGTGGAGACCTAGCAAAAAAAAGACGGTATTGAGACAAAACCTTGCAGCTTCTACGGGAGATTAATATTCGAGTAAACCCTGATATTAAAGACGACAAGTTCCGTCAATAACGCTGCATCATGTATTACGAGATTATGCCATGAATTATGCGACCGTTTAATATTAAACACCAACATTTTCCAGTAAAATATGTAAAATATTTTAAAATTTAGATAAAATAATGTGAAAAATGCCATATTTATTTAATTAATAGTAACAAAGAAAAATCTAATTTATGAGAAAGTAGATATGTTAAAAATTAATTAAATTAATTAAAAATAAAGTATATAATATACAATGGTATAATATTTTCTAAGTATTTATACGTTAAAGACGTTATATATGTCGTCATTGTACTTTACTATTTTCAAGGCGTGAATTGATAGATAAAAAAACAAAAATCACTCATTTCGCAGCTCATCTGAAGCGTCAGTTGGAGGATTACATGATGAATTATCCGAAGGTGAGAATTATCAGGGCGAGCAAACGAGAGGGTCTTATCAGGGCGCGCTTGTTAGGCGCTGCGGCGGCCAGGGCTCCGGTACTCACGTATTTGGATAGCCACTGCGAGTGCACGGAGGGCTGGCTGGAACCTCTTTTGGATCGGATCGCACGCGATCCGACGACGGTAGTTTGTCCGGTGATCGATGTTATAGACGACACCACCCTGGAATACCACTGGCGCGACTCGGGCGGTGTAAATGTCGGTGGATTCGATTGGAATCTCCAGGTAAACGAGATCTTCACGCTGAGAACGTGAAGCCTGAGCGGGAAAAGAGGGTAGAGAACGTGTCTGTCTCGACGGAATGCAATTGATTTTCGCACGCGATTTCGGCACGACAGCGAGTAGCGAGTAGTTAATTATTTCCGCGAAAATTAGTATGCCGTAATTTAGAAGGTTATCTCACGAGTATTTATTTAGAAAAGAAATGTTTCACATATACTAATTTTTTTTTTTTTTTTTTTCTGTACAAACGCGTTGATCAGAAACGCGTGAAATTAAAAGAAATCATTAAAGAATTAAAGAAAATGATTAGCATATCGTGATCTTTTCTGCTGTTATTTTGTATGTAAAGTTATATCGACTTATTTATTTTATTGTGATAAAAAGGATCACGCAGAAATTCATCCGCAAGCAGGTTTCTGACATATATTAACGTTTGTTGTTAACAAGTTCAATTGGCACGCGGTGCCAGAGAGGGAGAAAAAGAGGCATAAAAACCCGGCCGAACCCGTTTGGTCGCCAACGATGGCTGGTGGGCTTTTTTCGATAGATCGAGCCTTCTTCGAACGAATTGGCACGTACGACAGCGGCTTCGACATTTGGGGCGGCGAAAACCTTGAATTATCATTTAAAACCTGGATGTGCGGAGGTAAGTCCAACGAGAATAATGTTAAATAATGAAAAAAATCTTGTGTCTCCAATCTCAGAGATTGAGTGTCCAAACTACCGCATCCTCTATCCAGATACGATGTTCAATTTTGGTTGTTATTTAGTCTAAACATCTATAGATCTGATATGGACATTTTATTACAAGAACATACATTACTGGACGTACAAAATAAATTGACGTTTTAAAGACGTGTTTATTTTTGATAAAAACATTTGGCTCGCTTATGCCTTTATTTATATGTTGTGACATTATATTATGTCTACTCATCGATGAAGATCTGACTTGAGAAGAGCGAAAGTACATTCCATATGTCTATCTAGATTTAGACTCTGCGCTTATAAATATTAAATTTTGGAAATAAAAATTAGGAACAGAGTAACATAAAATGGACGTAAATAAATATGAAATATAGCTGTATCTTATACTTGTATTTATTATGCGGTACATTTAATCTTTATTCCTAATTTTTATTTTCAATTTAATATTCCTGTTCCTACATAATTCCTATTTTTATTCCTCCAACTCCTATTTCCTTCTTAGGTTTATTGGTGTTGCTTGCACTTTTTTCACTTTTTGCACATAGCCTAGCTTCTTGAACTGAGCTTATTGATGACATTCGATAAGCTAACACTTGTTAAGTAATAAGTGATCAGTATTTAGTTAAGATTTCTAAATTTTTACAAGAATTGCACCAATTAATGATTTAACCAAATGATTTCAATGATTTAACGCACATATATTATTTATTATTTTTAATTTGTTTATAATTATAATGATTGATAATAATAAATTGCAAACAAATTAATTCCTCAATTTGCTCATTAAAAATGAGCAACATTCAAATTATTTATTTATTGATAAAGATTCTTTTTATATCCTAAAAATCGTACATCCAGTTTTAGTCCAAAATCTTAAATCGAATATTTTTAGAAATTTTAGAATGTCCGAAAGTAACACTGAATATTTTTAAAATGCCCTAAAGATATCCCCAAAGATATCCAAGTCCTAAAAATGACTCTAATGTGGACGTTTTAAATACATACATAACATTCAATATATACGTTTTTAATATATGTTTAAAACATTTTTAATGTATTATCTGGATACCTTATATTATCTGGATAGTTAATATGAAAAAATTTTACATCTGTTTTTATTTTACTTTTTATGCGGAAAGCGAATTGTTTCTCTTTTATATATTTAATTTTCATTTTTCTCCATTTCTGTAACCGCGTATATTAATGTTTTTATAAAAATATATATAATATTTGTTACTCTGCTCATGCATTTGCATGGCTCTCGGAATTAGCCGACGACAGGCGAACGTAATAAACCAAGCCAAAAATGTTAATCCAATAACTCGACTCGTTTCGCAGGCACCCTGGAAATCGTGCCGTGCTCGCACGTGGGTCACATCTTCAGGAAACGTTCGCCTTACAAGTGGCGCAGCGGCGTGAACGTGCTCAAGAGGAATAGCATAAGACTGAGCGAAGTGTGGCTGGACGAGTACGCCAAGTACTATTATCAGAGGATAGGTCACGACAAGGTGAGTACTTTGTGCATCGTCGCATGCATAACTTTGCTTTCGTCCACGACCCTTCGTGAAAATGCAACGAGGCAACAATTAAAACGACATTGGGAGATCAATCACAAAACGCTCGCGGATCTAGAAATAAAATCAGAGAAAAGAATTTTATGTATACAAAGATCGAATAAAAATAAAAATAATAGTATAAAAACGTTACGATGTTCATTTAACAAAAACAAAATAGAAAATGTCATTGATATAGAAATGCGGAAAAATGATTGCAAAGAAAAATCTATGTTTAAAGTTCACGATCGAGTTTTGACACACGTGATCGCGTACAAATAGATAATTAATAATAAAAATATGTATCTTAGGCGAGTTAAAGATCTCGTTTCTTCACCATGGCATGTTGGTAACCCATCGATTATGTTTCTTTAATCCAAGTTGCTCGTAAACATTGGCCGAGTAGGTCGGTTGGTATGGGATGAAAAGGATAACGGTAAAGGTGGCCGATGATGGAGAGGATCGTAGACCAAGACTCGTCGTAAAAAAGGGCCATAAACGTGCCAAGTGCTCTTAAGGTTCGCGCCCATGTCCTCGCTCTCTTGAAGGACGTTTCTTTCGTCCCCCTCTATAACGATCTGTCATTTATCCTTGATGCTTGTCCGCCCCTGCTCTCCTGCCGAGATCCAATCGGCGAGATAAATCGAAGCGTAGAGAATAAATCGCTTCCGTAAGCACGTCGCTCTATGTAATGATCGAATCTATCGAGGATGTCGTTCTCATGGATAGCTTTATAATATAATGAGATAAATTACTGTCTGTTGCCCCTATCCTTAAGCGCGAGTAAACTTTTGCAGTAGTAATATCAACGATTGGGTTAGACATAGGATTCCAAGACGGTCCGAATGAAATACAATATTTTAATATGCAAGAAATTATTTATAGAGAGAGACGAGACTTTTTCTATTATTATTTCTTTTGCTCCGCCGTTTAGTTTAAAAATACAATAAAATACAATAAAAATTCTTAGCGAACATTTTAAATTCTGAAAGTCATGAAAATTCTACAAAATTATGATTTTATTCCATTTTGATCTTTATTTTTCATCATATTTTCTTAGTTGTCCTTTTCATTTCAATATCTGTACGTTTTCCATATTTTTTATCTTTGCCTCCTTATATGCGCATTTCCTATTGCACATTGAACTTTTGCAGGGGAACTACGGTGACGTATCAGAGCGAAAGACCCTTAGAAAGAAACTGGGGTGCAAGTCGTTCAAGTGGTACCTGGACAACGTTTACCCGGAACTCTTCATTCCGGGCGAGGCGGTTGCCTCAGGAGAGGTAAGACTACTTCACATTCTCCTCTTGAACGCTTCTTTTAGCAGTTGCTGACGTTCCGGCTCGAGAAATACCACCAACCGGAATCAAAGAAGGGGAAGCGGAAACGACGAGGGAACGACCGGTTTCTTCTTTAACGACGTTGCCGCGGCTTTGATCCATCAAGGTGTCAGATTACGACATTCGAAGGCTCTTCGTGAGAGAAAATGTAGTCAGTTAGATAGATAGTCACAAAAAAAAAGGTCAGATTATTCGTCTTTTGTATTGTTTCCTTTGTAAGACACGAGTATTTCTTTATCATGATATCTGCTGCTAATAGCATTTTTTGACACGACGAAAAAGTAAGTACTTCTTTTTACATCGTTACACTTCCTTAGTTAGCCTTTTCAACGGTTAAAAATTAAGCAATTTAGGTAAACTAAACTTGAGAGTTGTAAAGCGATAAAAGTCTTGCTCTTTGGTTAATGATATGCATTTCCTCGGGCTTGGATATTAGCAGCAAGAGACGTTGATCGATGTCAATGAGCTCGCATCACTGGAAACATGAAACAATGCGAATCGTGATCGAGACAATCGCAATTGGATCGTGGATGAAGGCTTGTCCGACATCTAATCGGAAATCGATTGCCACAAATCGTTATTGCGGATTCTTAAGCTACGCTTAAAACAGTCGGTTTTACCGATGCAACTTGATTACAAAGCAAACCTTCTCAGAGTAAAGGTCTTGTCTTTCGCTTCTCTATAAAAGCAATCCGGAAATTTTTCTTCGAACATCTTCATTTTGCACCTGATCCTCGTCTCTCTTGATATGAAATATAATTTTTCTCTAAAAAAAAAAAATAGGTTTTTAACTATATTCAAAAGTGAAGCAAACACAGAGAATCAAATCAGGCATTTGTTGTATATTTTTGTTAACAAAAATAATTATATCTCTGTTATTTTTAATTAAAATATTCACTAGCCATCGCGATAATTTTGTTTCTTAAAACAGAAGGAAAAATATTAATATTACAATTCCGTAATCTAATTGCATCTCGATCTTTCTCAAACGTAGCTGGCAAACGCAAAAGTGAAGGCAAGAACAATAACTAAGACATCTAGTTGCAACTTTATTGATCAATTAACCAGACCATCCATTATAGCCGCGTTGTTATGCTGTCACGTCAGATTTTTTTCATGACATTGTCAATTGTCACGCTTCATATTCCGAGACCCATCGCGCATACACACACACACACACGCTAAAAAAGAGGAGGAAGGGAACGTATGGGAATGGGAAGAAAGAAAAACGGGAATGTAGCAAACGCGGTTATATCTTGACGCGCGCAAAATTTCAGGCGGACTCTGGCACTTTTTTTCTCTCGTAGCCCTCGTTTTCGCTACGAAAAAAAAACGTGCGCATAAAAATCAGACAGACGCGTCGAACGACAGACTCGTCAAAGCTACACGCGCGGTACACGCGAGCCATCCGGCAGCGCGAACCCGTCACGACTGATAGTGCATTAATATCGCTCGGGCGCGCGATTCATGGTGCACGATCAATCACGCCGGGATTTATTTCCGTCGTGTCGTGCCTCCCTCTCCTTTCCAACCACCTCCTCCTCTCCTTCCTTTCGCTGTCTTCTTGGTGCATTCGTAATTGCGAAATGATTGGATCGAATCTCGTCGGGGTGCCTGTCCGGTAACGATATTGTCATTGCCGTTTATACGCATAGAAATGCGTTTCCACACCGGTTATCTTCGTTGACGAGATGTACGTATGGGAAAAGCGGGAAAATGCGGGACACGGATATTTCTGTCTATTGTTTTTTTATCAAGCTTATTCTGTGAAAACTTTTATATAATAAACTTGTATGTCGCTTGTAATCGAGCTCTTCTCTCATTGCCAGATGTAGAAATTTATTCGCGATACGGCGCCATTTATCCACGCGTGATTTATTCACGGCTGTTTCCAGTCCCAGTAACCGCTTCCACGCGTTTAATCAATCTTTTATCGGCGTCTCGTCGCCGCCGATATTGTTGACGTGTTTTATTAATCAATTCATTTCGATATGTACGCGCGCGATCCGTTCGGGGCGCACGGACCGTTGGTTATTTCACAATTTATTTTCACCGCGTTAGCCACCCGCCGGCCATCGTCGCTCCGCCGTTTCCGCTGCATTCGTAATTGCGAAATGATTGCAAATATTGTTGGGGATAAATCCGTCTTTCTAGCTTGTGTACCTTGCGTTTCCACGCGGATCGTTACACATTACTCTCCTCACAAGCAGCGTGCCGCCTCCGTGACAAAGTCACGGTACGTAGGTACCGGTATTAACGACGTTGCACCAACGGATAAATTGCAGCGTCACGCGACGCGAATATTTCATACTTCATCATTCTTCCTCTCTCACTTTCCTTCCAATTTCCTTTTGTTCCTTTAATTTTATCACATAAGCCAACAGTGCATTAACCCGGCGTTTAACACAATGTTCAACGCAGTCGCGAAGAAAGTAAAACGCTTGTAACGTAAAGCCTTTTTTCCCGTCACTCGGGGAACTCGATGCGAACTTTAAGTAGGACGCGTCACTTAGAAATCCGTAAATAAATAATGTCAGATTTAAATTTATACACGATTTGTTTATTACGATCGAGCGATGTGTGTTTTCTTATCAAAGTCTAATTTTTCGTTGGGTCAATTATATCATCTTTCTCACTTTCGCTTAATCGCGCGTTGCTATTTATATCGTTGCTATTTATATCATCGTATTATTTCATCGTTCCGTTACGCAAAGAAATTTCGCGATACGACATTCGGTTCGGCGATTAATCGCATTATTGAATAATGCATTCCATCATCCGTCCCCGGCTGTTTCCAATCCCGTGTAGAGACTCGTAGCGTTTCTCCGGCGGAGGTTAAACCTCGGCTTGCATTACAGGCGTCACAGTGTCACGCGACTCAAATATTTCGTGCTCGTGCCCGTCCTCGTCCCCGTCCCCCTTTCCCTCATTTATCTCTGTCTATCCTCTGCGCGCGCTCTTTCTCACCTCAGCCGTCTCTTTTTCACGCCCGTGCACGGTCTCGGCCCGTCTCGTTATCTTCACACTTCACTTGAATTTCTCGCGTATCAGGATCATCTTCGTCCTTCGCGCTTATCTCCGCGTATATACCGTATAAGATAACCAGGCGCAGTAAAGTTCGCTGTACCGGAAATTCTGGGTAAGTTTCGACCGCGCGTCTCTCGTTGCTCCGTTATCGAGGAAATATTTTAGCTTTTAATAATACCAGAAACTACTAGAGCGATGTGTCGCCCGGATAGACGCTTTGTTAGATAATGCTTGATATATCGGACGAAGAAAATGCAAAATGATGAACAATTTACGAAATAATTATTGACAATTTTTATTTGAGAGACAAATATTAACTTCTGTCACGTAAAAGTATATATGTATGTGTATATATATATATATATATATATATATATATATATATTATAATGAATGAAATTTTAGATGCATGTCGCGCACACACATTAACTCTTCATCCGTTCCAAAAATATTCGTCTAATTCAAAAAAAAAAAAAAAACTGACGTATATGGTTGACCTTTTTGATAAGTTGATTTTCATATTTAACATATTTTTGTGCAAAAAGCACGATTTTACACTTTTGTTATTCCAAATTATATAATATTGCGAAATGAGAAGTAAACATCACGTCGCCTCGATATGTAATTTTTAATATTTAACCTGTTAAAGAATTGGCTCGCACATCTCCTGTGTCTCGCCTGCTTATGCATTACGGTGTATTTGTTGAGAGAAACGGAACAGCATTGAAATAGATGCTCGGCATAACGTTTCGTGCGGGCATATTCACGGGCAACACAAATTGTAGTACCCTGTCGCGTTGTCCGCGAGACAAAAGCCGCGTGGTCATGGTACACCACGGTTCTGGCGAATCACAATTTCACGGCGCCGCCGACATGACACACGGTATGTACACGCGTTCCACCGTGCGAAGGCAATATTCCGATCGAACATGATAATAAAAAGCAACGGAATCCGAAATAGTTCGGGAGCTTGGGTACCATCGACCCTCCTCCCCTCTTCTTTTTACTTGGTTCTCTACCACCCTTGCCTGTCGCTTGCTGCGATCCACTCACGTTTTCCCCGGGATAAGGCAAGGAATGCATTTTACTCTTTTCCCCCTCCCCTCCCTTCCCCCTCTCTCTTCCTTTTTCTCCCTTCCACCTTCTTTTCTTTCTCTGTCCAGGCGCACTGACACCGGTATTCACGAGTGGGCGGAATAGGAAAACTAAAAGGAAGCATCGCGGAAAAAGCGACGGAAAAAGGAGGAATGTATAAAGGATGGGCGCGCATTTTCGCGAAGTAGCATTTACGTGGCCGCGCACTTTGGAATGCGGCACGCACCACACGAAATAACAATTTCGCCGCTTAAGTTGCACGGCGTGTCGGTAGAAACCGAATCGTTTTTGTCGATCCTGGATTATCCGCACGCGACCGTTCGCTCGTCTACGTCGAGAGAACGTCGGTAAAATGCGTCTTACGGAAAATAAAGAACACACATACGCGATTTTATTTTCTCGTATGATCGTAGATAGCAATGTTTGTTATTATTTTTATCAGTGTGTTCTAGTACATGGTGCAGAGATATTAAAAGATTTTGAAATCATCAAACACGATGTAACCCATCCCTTATTTATATTTAAGCTTATATGATGATTTTCTAGATTTTTCAGAATTTTTCACAGAGTTTACATTAATTTTTGAAAATTTTTTTATCTATATCGAAATACACGAAAAAATTATATCAGAATTTTTGTAACTATCAAATAACCAATATTTATCTATCAGGAGTATTTTTGTCAGTATTGGAGAACCAGTATTTTTGAGTGAAGCACATTTCAATATAATTCAGCTTATTTGAAAAATCCCAGATTTTTTTACGTTAAAGTTTTTTTTATTAATGTTTAATAGAAATGCCATCGACAGTTAGTTTTCTGATAAGAAAATCGGGATCGGAGAATTTTAGACTTCATTTTCACGCCACACACCAAATAACAATTTAATCCGTACGTCGGGAGCGAAACTTATTTTTCTTACTCTGTCCTCCGTCCGGATTTCTCACCTTCGCCGCTCTTTACTACTGTGTCTCCCTCTCTTTTCTTTACTTTTTATTTGCTTCCGGGAAACCGGCTAAATCACGCTCGGTCTCCCTATCGTAGAGAAGGAAGAAGGATGACTGGATTTATAGTTTACACACGGCTCTACGACGACGACGGTCCAGAAATCGTACACGACATGAATAATTTCATATGTACACGTGTTTCTACGTACGTGCACGGGGAGGGATATCCAATATTTCTCCGGGGGGCATACCGCGATTTTTGAGTCGTTTTACGCGAATTGCATAGATTTCCTATGTAAAACCACGCGGAATGATAAAAATGCGACGCGACGCGGCGCGGCGCGCGGTTTTATTTAACCCTCACAATCTCATACATCGATCCCACCCATGTCGCGATGTGATTTTTAATAAAGCATTTATAATATCTTTGCATGCAACCTGCATGCGATCCTGCTAGGAATATTCTTGAAAAATCGCTGTTAACGTCGGGAAGATTTATTTTCTTTTCTCACGTATGGATGAAGGGTGGGATTTACCAGGGTAAAAATGAAGGAGACACGTTTCCTCTTTGGATTATAGAATAACGAGGTATGAAATTCAGGAAATGTCCGAAATACGTGACTTTCCGCGATATTATATTACTCTGAATTTCAACTCTCTCTCTCTCTATGAGTTGAGATCGTAAAGTTGTCTAAATACTAGATCACATTTCTCATCGAGTTCACTAAGAGCCTTCGAGCCGCCTTTAATAATGCCGGGGCGGGAGCTTTGGAAATTTTATCGACCTCCAGGATACCCGGTTATAAATCACGAGTTTTTATTCCAGTCGGCCGACGAGTCGGACGCCGACAACGAGGACGACTCCTACGAGGAGATGAAGACGGGGAGACGGGGGATGTGGCAGGAGTGGGGAGGGGAGGGGTAGGGAATAAAGATGTTCACGTTGAAACTGCAACGACCACAGAATTCTTGCATGCAGCGAAATCAAGACTGCTGACCGAGCTCCGTAACTGAATGCACTACTACCTACTGTTATACGCAGGCACATGTGCGCACATACATATATACATACATACATACATTTTCACACACACACATATACACATACACGTGCGCACACGCACGCCGTACGGTTCGTACTAGTCGCGAACACACGCGTCGGACCGAACGAAATACGAGCAGACCTCATTTTCAATTTGTTTCCGTCTATTTGAAAAATGGAGAACGCAATCCGCGGTCTGTGCGGTCCCCGTTTTTTTCAGACATGCTGCAAAATCTGCGCATGGAAAAAAAAAGATTGTTGCGCAACGAGAGACGTGACTTTTTCGCCTTTTCATATCTCCCTCCACAATTCCAGCGAGAGATTGTATGAACGAATCTCGTTATCGAGATGCACGTTTCAAAAACAGAGCTTTATTAATTCAATTATATTATCTTACAGGTACAAAAGCGATCTGCGGCTATTTTTAAACCCCGATGTTAAAATAAAGCGGAACGTCGGCGATTTTGCATTGACATTTCGAATTGTAAATACACGTTCGTTTAATTTACTTAATTCGACCGAAAATAATTTTGCATTTATAATACAAAGTTCCGTAATGAGCTGCCAAGTTGAGAAAATAAGCAAAGTGTAAAACAGAAATGTCGAAACGGCACGTCGTTGACGTTACTTCTCTTTTCAGTAATTTATTTATCAATATGTACATATATTCTTGGGTATTAACTAACTTGGGTATAATGGTTACACGCTAATGTACCGAAAACATTACTAACAACAAACAGGTTCGAAACCTCGGCGAGGGCGGTAACACCTGTCTGGACTCGCCCGCTCGCAAGGCCGATTTGCACAAACCGTGCGGACTGTATCCCTGCCATCGACAGGGTGGAAATCAGGTACAATGCCAGACACCGTGCCCGAAAAATTTCCTTGACCACAACACCATTGTCCCGTGAAATGCCTGCCTGATGCTTGATGTGTGAAACTGCTGTATGCCGTACAAGTTCGGAAAACGGAAATGCGATTTTCGATTTTGAATTTGGTGTGATTTCCGCGACTTCGACTTCAAAGTTCTCCTCGCTGTCGTTGACGTTTGGAAGCTGGTGCTAACGTTTATGCGCTTGACTCTGCATTTTGAGACATCAATCGCTTGCTACGACAGTGTATTCTCTGCAGTGCTTCATCACACCGCGATGATAAAATTGACACATACGTGCGATAAGAATAGAAATTAGTTGAAATAAAATGTTGAAAATGTTTCGCGATAAGAATTTCGTTTAGGGAAGAGAAAAGGAAAACGGGGATGTTGTCGACTTTCGGATTTGATTATCGATTTAAGAATGTAGCTTTGAGCTGTTGCATTGAAAATTTCTTTTAATTAATAACGGCACATAAATTTGCGATAAATTGTTTTGAATTTTTATATATATATAAATTTAATTAAGAAAAATAAGAATAAAATTATAAGACACCTGTCTGCCGAGCGATGCCATTTATTATCTCATTTATTAAAATTTTTTTTTATATTTTGTATAGAATATATTTTTGCGAATATATATATATATATATATATATATACACACTCTTTTTACGCCTATAAAAGTGATGTTCTACAATGTAGCATTCGATTGATTTTACATTCTATTCACTTCTGTTTACTTTTACTGTTTTTACAATTAACAAGCAATCTCAGTAGCTCAAGATAAAACCGATCGTTTTGGATTTCAGCCGCGGAACAGCAACAGCCGACAGCACTTGTTGTTAGTCACCGCCGGTATTTAGCCTAATTATTATCGTATTATCCTGCGTGAATAAACTACACTGCACAGATCGCTCGTTTCGAAATGTGTAGCGTCCCGCTAATTCGAGCTGCGACGCTAATCGAAGCTACATACCAAATTACTAGAAAATCGAGTTTCCGTCTCATCGGCGATATCGATTCGTTATCGTTTCCCCAATGACGGTCCAAGTGCCTAATCGTACGGGCGCTCGTTTCCACGCCACGTATGTTCGCGCTTCCAGCTGCTTGGATATTCTCGAACAGGCGGCGCAGAAATAGAAATAAAAATTCCGTGCGTTCTCTCGCACGAAATGCCGTTGGATAAAGCGACGTCTTTTACCCCTGCCCGAAGTAACCGTGTGAATTTCTGTTGAATTCTAACGCAGATACGGCAAATCGCTAGCGGAATATGTATAGATTCGCCAGGGAAATCCGAAGACTTGCATCAGCCGGTGGGCTTGTATCCCTGTCACCGTCAAGGCGGCAATCAGGTACCAATTCGGCGAACTCGAATTTCAACGAATTTCCAGACCAAACTGACAGACATTTACGTATTAAATCCTTTTCTACTCGGGGCGACAGAGACATTTATCTCTAATCTAATATCTGGTTTTCGGGATCGTAAATCTACGCGACTTGTAAGAGCTGGCTCTTGTAACGCATGTGCGCTCGCGTGCACGCTAACTCTCGGCACTAATCGCCCTGCGTTTCGACGCGATTAGTGGCAGTCGCTAATCTGGTGCAGGTGCTCATCAATCCATGTCTCTCTACTGCCCCTTGGTGAGAGATGACCTCAATTACTGCCTTTTGGCACGGTTTCTTACCGTGTTATCATCATCATTCCTCACATTGATATAGTAGGGTTAGATTTAATCATCGATTTGGCTCCCCGTAACTCGTGGAGAGGAGCGAACATATCGAGGCGCGAGTATTTCTAAATCGCATGCATGTTATAGATATATTTTTATATTTCTAATCTCTTTCTCTCACACAGCGTGTACAGCGTACATCACCTTTTTGTATTTTACACTTTGATAAACACTTGATCGCATCTTTTTTGCATCTCTTTTATTTATTTGCCGATGAAACACGCGCGGAAGACAAACACGGCGGCAATTTCATCAGCGTTCCTCCGTTCATTTTATTAGCTTACGAGCTTACGGTTGCCACTCGGCGGAATCGAGCGAGTCCCGCGCTCGCTGGTAAATCCGCGCTTTATCTTGTTTCTTGCACTCGTTCGGTCGGTCAGTGCGGTCTGTTATTAAAGCCCGTGACACGAAATAGAGCGCGCGTCGTCTACACACGTGCGTAGGTGTTTCCTATCTTTCATCTATACACACACACACACGCGCGCGCGCGCGCGCGCGCATGTACACACGCATACGTGCGTATACACAAACGCCGGCGGTTTAACAACCGTGGCGACCGATCGCAACCAAAAACACAATCAGTCGGTGCTTGCTTATCCCGGCTAAAGCGCTGCTTTAATTTAGCTGTTTGCCCTCGCAATTAAGCCGCGGTTTCACGGCAATTACGCTTCCGGTCGTCGCCCACGTGACGCTGATAAAGTCGCCGGCGGGGAAAGAGGGGGAGGGGGACGCAATGTGCATCGGCGATTCGGGATGATGGAAGATGAATAATCGTATCATCGGATGGAAGGCGAGTGCATCGCGGGACCGCCGTTGCGGTCATCGGGTGGTTAGTTTACCGGGGACACTACATCCGTATATCTAGACACACACACACACACACACACACACACACACACACACACACACACACTCTCTCTCTCTCTCTCTCTCTCTCTTC